AAACCCTAAACCCTAAATGTATTCACAGCCTGGCTGCAGGATGTTGCCTTCCATAGGCTCCTGGGATGCCACGACCGCGGCATTCCTGACTTGCCGCGGCTTGCAGCTTCCGAGGTTACACTTGGAGAGGCTTAGGGTGTAGGATTTAGGGTGTAGGGTGTAGGGTTTAGGGTTTAGGGAGAGTCCGGGGAATTTAGAGAGTAGCCTCAGAACGCCGATAGCTGGGCTTGTTGTGAGGCTTACAGGGGTTAATGAGGCTTGTAACTGTATTCCTGAGTTCTCGCCACCACCACCGCCGCCGCCGCCACCACCCCCACCGCCACCACCACCCCGAGACGGGTCGAAGTAGTCTGAGGTAGAAACACGTGCGCGAATTACAATAGAGCAGTCTATGTCTGTAAATACATACATACATACATACATTCATTCATTCATTCATTCACTCATTCATTCATTCATTCATTACATGCATACAGATCGAGAATATGAAGAGGTGTGTAAATTTGTGTACTGGGCTCAAAATCAAGGATAGTTGTAACCTTACTCCCTGTTGAGGAATCCAGTTTTGCCACTCTCCCGTCAGGTACCCCATACCAGTGCGAAAAGATTCTACCCTAAACCCTAAATCCCTAAACCCCAAACCCCCAAACCTTGATAACCTTAAACCCCTAAACCCTAAGCCCTAAACCCTAAGCACTAAGCCCGAAAATCGCTTCTGCGGTAAGCTTCGCGCCTTGGCGAACTTCCTCCAAAGGAGTTACTGTTCACAGAAACAAGTCAAAGACCCTACCTAGAAAGCCTAGTTACCCATAGTAATGGGCTACTGTAGCCCAAAGTAGTAGAAAATTACTGCAAAATTGCCTCTAATTATGGGTAACTGGCTTTCCAGGTAGGGTTTAGGGTTCAGGTTTAAGGGCTTAGGCTTTCCTAAGCTCGACGGTACTTCGGGTTATGCAGCCACGCGTTTTAGGGTGTCAGATTTGGGTTCTAGTATCAAGCCTATAAGCCCTTGTGTTATCCCAGTTCCCCTTTTGCTTGTCCATTTCATTCTCTATTGTTGGGGTCTGATTGGGATGTTCAGTATTCATTCTAAACCATAAGCCCCCATACACCAACCCTAAACACTAAATGCTAAACCCTAAACCCTAAACCTTCTACCTGTAGAGTTCAAGGAAGATGGTTCGCAAAAGCTCCCCTACTCAACGTTGCATATCTTAGGCGATCAGCTTTATCAGGTGGTTGAGGCAAGGCTTGAAACTTTAGTGTTTAGGGATTGTCGGACATTTTTTGAATGGTTGAAAAAAGTGAAGTCAGATTCCTGTGAGGAAATACCATAGTTCACCAAAAAGAGAGCATAGTCTCATTCCATAATGTCCCCTTTCAACATGCTACCCCTAAACCCGAAGCCCTAAATTCAAAACCAGGTATAATATCCTGCCCTAAACCCTGAACCCTAAACCTTGAGCCCCAAACCCTAAACCCTAAACCCCAGACCCTTTTCCTGAAATGGATCCTCATTAAAGATGCTACCAGGGCATTGCCTTCAAAGCTAAGCTGCAGAGCCGCGATGTGGTGAGATGCAGACTCCTGGTGCATCAGTGGAGGGAGCTTAAGGGTTTAGGGGTTTAGGCTTTAGAGGTTTAGGCCCGGGGAACTTAGGTTACTGATGGGGATAATAAGGTTATTTCATGGGTTATAGCGGCTATTGACCTCCTGTCTGAAGTCCCACTGACCCTCCAGCCATATGCACAACTCCCAAACGGAGGTACGCCCAGCGCAGCCCTTGGATGGCGTTCATTCGTGCTGCTTGCAGGAGTTTCCATCATCCAGGGGCAGGGTGACAGCAATCATTATGCAACTCTTTGGGCTACAGGCCTATACAGGTTTTCATGCTGTTTTTCCTTCTGTGTAGTGTACTAGAGTGGCAGTGCTGGGCTATTTCCGGTCGGTACAGCGTGCAAGGGTTGCCGTCTCTCGCATACCAAACCAGCCATGTTCAAAGTAGCAACTGGGCATACAACGGACTGCAGTGGGAACCCCCAAAAAACTCTTATATTCCCATTTAAATCCCTTTCAACTGTGGGGGGGGGGGGGCTCTCAATGGATAAATGTAATCCCTAGCAGGGAACCCCCCCAATTTCTAAATGTCCTTTGTGTCTTCAAAGGCGCGGCAACCTTGAAAAGCTTCACATAGAATTCTGGTAGCCCTCGGATGCCCAAAAACTCCATGCAGTATTTCCAAATGCCACAATCATGCCCCCCACCTGGTATGCCCAGAAATCCCTTGGTCCTTCGTTTAGGGACCCCCCCCCAAATGTCGATACACCCTTACATTCTACATACCAAGTTAATTTTGTGAATACTGGCCGCAACTTTCGGGAACCTAAAGGAAGCATGTACTGATGCGCTTTATGTACTTTATATGGGACCGCACATGCTGTGGCCCTAGCGAGTAACTATACTTTGGGCAGCCGCGCGCTCAAAATACACCCTCCCATACACTATACCAAAGGGTCCATGTAGCTACACAGTATACACTTGCCCCAAGGCATATGGCTCTTGTTACAGAGAGCACCTAACACAACATAAGGTTCTATTCGACACCCAACACCTCTACATAAGCCCTAACCCTGACCCCTATAACCCCTAAACCCAAAAACCCTCGACACTGTATGTAGCCCTAAACCCCTTTCAGCCCTAAACCCTGAACCTTCAACCCTAACCACCCCTAAAAGCAAAAGCGCTCTATTTGAGGAGGACCCCCCACCCTCTACTAGTGGTATAATGGGAATATAAGAGGACCTTAATATAAACCCTACACCCTAAACCTAAGAGCAAAAGTGCTCTAGGCTCCAGGGTGGCAGTAAGATCATCTTCGCTGACCAACGCCATGGCCCGGCGTTTTAGGCCGCAGGCTTGCCGGCTCAATGTTGAAGAACAGTGGTGGTATGGGATATATATCGGGTTATATAGAGTTGAGGGTTTAGGGTTTATGGAATAGGGTTTCCCAAAGCTAGAGGTACTTTTTTGAAGGGGATTCTGCAGTTAGGATGGTAGTATTTTGGGATCTATATTGAGGTCCCCTATTTATGGAGACCCCCGAATTCAGCTACCACGCGTTTCATGGTTCAGGGCTTAGGGTGGAAACTTAGTTTGCTTGGGCTCTATGGCTCTAGGGTTAGGAAATCGCATTCGTTGCCATAGATCCACATAATCGAGGGCCTTTAGGGATTCTAGGGATATTTAGGGCCTCTAAAGAGGTTACCGGGTTCCCTACTCGGTTATTCCGGATGACATAAGGTCTATGTGGAGAAATACCCAGTTGAGGTGAAAAACTGAGATTGGAACCCTAGGAGCCTACACTAATAACACCCTAAGCCCTAAATCCTAAACCCTGAACCATATGCTTGGGGGGGGGGGTGCAAAAGCTGGAGTCAAGCATTTTCAGCCGAGTCTGCTGCTCTTTTGGGCCCGCGCTGCATTCACTGCCCTTTTGGTTAGCTAGCTAGGAACGCAGGATTGGAGCCTTACTATAGTATAGGGCCCAGGGTTTGGGGTTTAGGGTCTGGGGTTTTCGGAATGAAGAAATGGATCCTGATAGCAGACCCTATATGACCCATTTTGCTAGTTTCCATTTTCTTTTCCATTCCTTCATTGCCAGCTAATGAAAGGCCAGTGGAGATGGAATGTCAGGACCTGGACCCCCAAAGGTAAGTAACAAAAATAGCCCAAAACAATCACTCAGAAATAGCCAAAACACAGCCATTATTCTACATACTTTTGGGTTTCAGGAAGTGCTCGAGACTTCTTAAGATGAGAACTCATGTGCTGTGTCTGGGCTACGTAGGATTTTGACATGAAAAGATGCGGACGTTGGGGGGGAGTAGGTTCACCGTGGCAGTAGGCGGCAGTAATGAAACAAATGAAACGTGAGCGTCGCTCCCCTTGCGTACTTTCAGTGATCATGACAAAGATGTTGATGATAATGATGATGGCAATACTATTTGGGGATTACAATCCCCAAGGGTCCAAGAACCTTAGGGAATGATACTGATGTCCACGAGGATGATGGCGCGCTGTTAGACGCGCGCATGTTCACTACTGGATGGCTGAAGACGATTGGAAGAATTGATGTTTGTGTCGCTCTTGCCAGCACTTGTCCAAGTCCACGCATGCATGTTCCAAGTGCTGTTCAGGTGCTTATGAACATGCCAGCTTCACATACTCCTGCTTACCAGCCTTATATTGCGGCTCCTGGGCTAATGCTAGCATGCTCTCAACATGGTAGCAATAGGCAACCCTGAACCCTAAACCAAATACAGCCACCCAAAACCTTATTTTTAGATAGTTAGCGCTCAGGGCAACATGTAGCACCTAGAAATGATAACGCTGAGAATTGTATTCTTCGCAAGCTTGTGAGAATAGGTCTCCGGTTCACAGACCGTTGCCGATAAAAATAGTAAACTGGCCTCAATACCCACTAAAAATTAACATTTTGGGTTGTTCTTAGGATTACAATAACCAAAAACCAAAATCTATTTTGGAGGCCCCTATAGAATACACCTCAACCACTAGTCTGAGAGC